TCCTGAGGCCCTGGGGACAGGGAAGGATTGACCAGATGCCCCCTCCAGAGTTCTGCCCTCGCCCCCGTGGAGCCTGAGGACTCTGCTCCCTGGGGTGGCTTCCAGTTCAGGTAAGGTCATTGAGAGACACCCGTGGTGGGGAGGGACTTGGGGTGGGGATGGGAGTTCTTGGGCTACAGGTGGAAGTAGGTAAGTACCAGGTGCCCTGTGGCATTCTAAACCATTTTCCTTGTGAAATGTCTGTCCCTTGAGTGTGTCTCCGACACCCTGGATACATGGTCCCGGCTCTGCCCCGCTCTGACCTCCTGGCCCCCTTTCTCCACCTCTCCTCACAATGGCAACTTCTGCTTTGCTCTCTGAGCCACCTCGACACCCCTGTCCACCGCCCTGATCATCTCCGCTCACATCCGCCCACAGTCTCTCTCACTGGCACTTCCGTCTGTGTGTCTCTCTGACCCACGGCCCCTCTCAACCTTTGCCCACTCCTGACTCCTAGGCTGGTTCTGTGACCATCCTTAGCCACATCTAACATCTGTGCAGTCTTCTCCCAGCTACCCTGCCCTCCTCTCCTGCCGTTTCTTCTGTCTACCTCCCACTGTCTCTCTTCTCTCCCTCCCACCCTGTGCTAACTCCCAGTCTACCCCCACCTGGCCAGCTCTGAGCGTCTCCACCTTGGCTGCCTTTCTACCCTTGCTCTACCTCTCTCCGTAGCCTTTTCTCGAACCAGTTGTCCTGGTCCCCTGCTGATTCTCCTATATCTGTCCTTTCTACTCTCTCTGGCTTTCTTACTGGCTTTTGACCAGGTCAAAACTCTTCTGTCTCTCTTTGTCCAGACCTAGAAGGACCACTTCTAGGCTCTCTCCTTTTTCCTCAGTTTCCCTCTTTAGTCATGCCTGACCTCTACTGATTGATAATGCTTGCCAGCTACCCCTCTTCTCTGTGGCTGCATCTAGACACTATTGCTTACCTTCTCTCCACCTTGACCACATGTCCTAGCCTCTGCCCACCTGTGCCCATCTCCAGCCCGCTTCCTGACCATCATGGCTCATGCTTGACTCTCTGAGCCTTCATGACACATCTCTGACACCCCGCCCCACCACCATCCCTACCTCTCTGGGCATATTATGACCATTGCTCCCGGTTTCTGGCCCTAACATTGTCTTTATTCTCTACAGACTACCCCTGCCCGCGATGGCAGTCCTTCCACTACTCCTTTGCCTGCTACCGCTGGCCCCTGCCTCATCTCCACCCCAGCCGGCCACATCCAGCCCCTGTCCCCGCCGGTGCCGCTGCCAGACCCAGTCACTACCCCTAAGCGTGTTGTGCCCAGGGGCGGGCCTTCTGTTTGTACCGCCATCACTGGATCGCCGTGCTGCAGAGCTGCGCCTGGCAGACAACTTCATCGCGGCAGTGCGTAGAAGAGACCTGGCCAACATGACAGGCCTGCTGCATCTGAGCTTGTCTAGAAACACCATCCGCCATGTGGCAGCTGGCGCCTTCGCCGACCTACGGGCCCTGCGTGCCCTGCACCTAGATGGCAATAGACTGACCTCGCTGGGCGAGGGTCAGCTGCGCGGTTTAGTCAACTTGCGCCACCTCATCCTGAGCAACAACCAGTTAGCAGCTCTGGCAGCTGGTGCCCTAGACGACTGTGCTGAGACTCTGGAGGACCTGGATCTCTCCTATAATAATCTTGAGCAGCTGCCCTGGGAGGCTTTGGGTCGCCTGGGCAACGTCAACACGTTGGGCCTTGACCACAATTTGCTGGCTTCAGTGCCTGCTGGAGCCTTTTCCCGCCTGCACAAGTTGGCGCGACTGGACATGACCTCCAACCGCCTAACCACCATCCCTCCTGACCCACTCTTCTCCCGTCTGCCGCTGCTTGCCCGGCCTCGAGGCTCGCCAGCCTCTGCTCTGGTGCTGGCCTTCGGGGGAAACCCCCTCCATTGCAACTGTGAGCTGGTGTGGCTGCGACGCCTGGCTCGGGAGGACGACCTCGAGGCCTGCGCCTCACCACCTGCTCTGGGGGGCCGCTACTTCTGGGCCGTGGGTGAGGAGGAGTTTGTGTGTGAGCCACCCGTGGTGACCCACCGCTCACCTCCCCTGGCAGTGCCCGCAGGTCGGCCAGCTGCCCTGCGATGCCGGGCAGTAGGGGACCCAGAGCCACGAGTACGTTGGGTATCACCCCAGGGTCGGCTGCTGGGCAACTCCAGCCGTGCTCGTGCCTTCCCTAATGGGACCCTGGAGCTCCTGGTCACAGAGCCGGAAGATGGTGGTACTTTCACTTGCATTGCAGCCAATGCCGCTGGCGAGGCCACTGCTGCTGTTGAGCTGACCGTGGGTCCCCCTCCACCTCCCCAGCTAGCCAATAGCACCAGCTGTGACCCCCCGCGGGACGGGGAACCCGATGCCCTCACCCCGCCCTCTGCGGCTTCAGCCTCCGCCAAAGTGGCAGACACTGTGGCCCCTACCGACCGTGGCGTCCAAGTGACTGAGCACGGGGCCACAGCGGCTCTTGTCCAGTGGCCAGATCAACGGCCTGTCCCAGGGATCCGCATGTACCAGATCCAGTATAACAGCTCGGCCGACGACATCCTCGTCTACAGGTGCAGGGGGCTGGCAGTGGGGGGGTGAGGGACGGCAGGGCATTGTGGGTCCACCCAGGAACACCCCTTGTGAGCCACTGCACGGAAATAACACCGTAGGTTCCAAAGGAAATCATAAAGCGAAGGCAAATGAAATCAGGCAGCAATGATAACCAGGGCTGGGCAGAAAGGGGTAAAAGAAATATAGGCCCGACATGGTGAAGGCAGTTGAGACGAGGAGGGTGAATCAACCAGACAGCAGGCTAACACGCTCAACCAAGGACAATGAGGTTTTGGTTTGTTTGTTTGTTTGTTTGTTGTTTTGTTTTTGTTGTTGTTGTTTTTAAATCACACTGCAAAGGTAGAAGGAAACAAGGCTGAGAAAATAAATGGTAACAAACATACAAAGAAATCAGGCAACGAGGGGGAAAAAAATCAGGCCAAACAAACAAAAAGTTACTGGTTTGAGTGTAGTTCAGATAGAGTGCTACAGTAGCAAGCAGGCAGCCCCGAGGCACAGCCCAGCGCTGAAGAAAAAGTTAATGAGGTGATGGAAGGCTAGACCCAAATTGTATCAGGAAGTTTGGCTACAAGGAATCCACAAGAGGCTGAGTCAGGGTTGTGACAAGTTCAGGGCCAGCCTGGTCTACATAGGGAGTTTGAAGCTGGTCAGAGATTTATAGTAAACACGGGGTGGGGGAGGAAAAAAGAGAGAAAGAAAAGGGGGAGGAGAATGAGCAGAAATGTACAGAGACGGCAGAAGAAAGGCAAATGAGGTAGGCAGGGGAAGGAAGGGCGAAGGTTAAGTGGGAAATTGGGGGTAGGAGGTTAAACAGAGAGTAGGGCTTGGGTTCCTGCAGTGTGAGCCCTACCGGTCAAAGTTCTGGTTAGAGTAACGTCTTAATTTTTGGTTTGCTAAATCAAATCTAAGCTAGGTCAGATGTGTCAACACACAGCCGTCTGTCTTCCCAGCTCGCAAGAGGTTGAGACAGGAGGATAGCAAGTTCAGGGCATCCTGGACTATACAGTGAGACCTTGTCTCAAAAAAATGAACAAGCAGCCACCCAGTGAGCTATGTGGGCAGAAATGGCCAGTCTGATGGCCCTGCCGTCCTCCCATGGCTGCAAACACAAAGCCTGGCGTTTACACACTCCAAAAGGGCAGTCAGTGTAGCTTCTATCCATCTGCTGTCACTGCAAGTGGGTAGAAATGGTGGTGGCTGACACTCCCTACCGAAGTCTGACCTTGTGTAGGTAGCTGTGGGTGACTCCCTGTCCTGGACGCCAGGCTGGGGCAAGCGTACAGTCTCAAACTGACCATAGCCTTTCACGGGCTGGGTTAGCACCTTGCAAACCCAGTGCCTGGACTCCCCCCACCCCCTTCCCTGGTCATATGTCAAGTCTCATTTTCTCAGTCCTAATGCCCACTCTCTGTCCCCTTCCCTCTCCTCCTCCTTCCCTCCCTGCTTCTGTTTTAGACTAGAGCTCATGTTACCCTGGCTGGCCTCGAACTGGCCATGTAAGCCAAGGACGACACTGAACCCCGAGCCTTCCTGCCTTCACCTCCCCATCTTCGGGCCACCACATGTGGCTTCTCCACTCCTTTTTTTGAGACACTACTCAGGAGATTGCATGGAGGGCGGGCCACTTGCCTGGTGGGGAGTGGGACAGTCTGGAGACAGCCACCCAGACACAGGTCATGCTGGGTATCTTTGTGCTGCTCTCCTTAAAGCAGCTTAGGAGTAAAACAGACTCTAAAGCTAGCCCAGTCTCCATCTGGGCGCCCCAAGATGAAAGGGATGCGCAGAACTGGATGGGGAAGGCAGAGAAAAATGAGTGTAGTGGCTCAGACCTTAGTCTCAGCCCTGGAGAGAGTTGAGGCAGGGCACTGAGAGTTCCAGGTCAGCCTGGGAACTACATAGCCAGAGCCTGGTTCAACACTCATGCCATACACACACAGACATGCAAGCACACGCATGCACAGACAGACTCGCGCACACATGCGCACACAGGTGCCTCATACACAAAGGTAAGGCTAAACAGGGACTAGGAAATGGAGCCGAAAGAGAGTGAAGAGATGGAAGTAGAGGAAGAGAATCTGAGAGGGAGATTCTCAAGGGCTCGCTGGAAACACTGTAGAGTTGGTGATCGTAACAGGGGACTGGGGCTGCAGGGAGGTTCACTGGCGGGCTGGAGGGAAAGCAGGCAACAGAGGTACCGGGAAGCAGTGGGTAGGGTAGAGGGGTTCCGTTGCTGCATGCTAGGGAAACCGAAAGGAGCCGGGCAAGGGAAATGTCAGCCAGCCTGGCGTGGGGTGCATGACTGCAGCACAAGCACTTGGAGTTACAGGGAGGATCATCAGGAGTCCAAGGCTAGCCTTGGCTAAGCTCCATGACACCTTATCTTGAAACAAGCAATCACTTTCCTGCCTTGTGGCTAAGGTCGAGTGTAGTGTCTGCTCTTACCAGGTTAATGTCTGATATGTCCTCTATCTGAGGACAATATAGTAAATGGATTTTTGGAGCTGGGTGATGGAACAGCAGCTTGCTGTGTCCGGGACATTCATTGACCTGGTGTTGCAGCAGCCCAGGAATGGTGCCCCCACGTCAAGGGCATAAAACAAATAAAAATGAAACAGGAGTCACAGGGAAATGGCTTGGCAGAGAGATGGCTGGAGGCTAGAGAAAGGGGGCCGTTGGGCAGGTGTAATGTTAAAACGGTTCTATCTCCAACACTTTGGAAGCTGAGGCAGGACCTTCACAAGATATGAGCCAGCCTTGGCTACATAGCAAGACTCCGGGAGGTAGGGGCAGGAATCAGACAGTGAACTTCGGCGGGTGATGCTGAGGACTCGGAGGAACAGGGAAGGAGGCTAGGTGCCGAAAGGGGCCTTGAGAGACGATAGGGGCTCCTTAAAAGGCTTAGGGAGTAAATCTTAGGCTTCAGAGAAATGGATTGTGGGATCCACGGGTACGCAAAACAGGGAACTTGAGTGGGAGAATGAAGTTGGCTAGTATGCTGGACGGACATGCTAGGTGTTAGCTAAGGAAAATAAGTCGGGTCGCTGATTAGACAGAACTGGGGTGCGATGGGGCAGCTGGACTGCAGGGAACTTAGCCAAAGGGAGGCACGGGGTGGGAGGAGCATGGGTAAGGGGTAACCATAGTCCTGACCCCACCTGCCGTCTTCCCCCAGGATGATCCCAGCGGACAGTCGCTCCTTCCTGCTGACCGACCTGGCGTCAGGCCGTACCTATGATCTGTGTGTGCTCGCGGTCTACGAGGACAGTGCCACGGGGCTGACAGCCACGCGGCCGGTGGGCTGCGCTCGGTTCTCCACGGAGCCCGCCCTTCGGCCCTGTGCTGTACCACATGCACCGTTCCTGGGCGGCACCATGATCATCGCGTTGGGAGGTGTCATCGTCGCTTCCGTTCTGGTCTTCATCTTCGTGCTGCTTCTACGCTACAAGGTGCACGGAGGCCAACCGCCCGGCAAGGCCAAAGCCACAGCACCTGTCAGCAGCGTTTGCTCCCAGACCAACGGAGCCCTCGGGCCCGTGCCCAGTGCGCCTGCCCCTGAGCCTGCTGCACCCAGGGCCCATACTGTGGTCCAATTGGACTGTGAGCCCTGGGGGCCCAGTCACGAACCTGCAGGACCCTAGCCAAGGGCCCACCTCTATTGTTACTCTGGCCCCAGGGACACCCCTCGGGACCTGGCCTCAGACTCACCAAATTGCTCACGGTTTTTAAAACTCTGATGGGGAGGGTGTCGGGGGCACTGGGCACAACAAGAAAGTCCTATTTTTCTAAGCTTGGGCTGTGTCCTTGCCCTTGTCTCTGTCTGTGGGGACTGAGGGGTGCTGCAGAGGGTATCGGACGTGGGGGGGGGGGGGGTTGAGGAACCTCCTCTGAGGAAGGTACTTCCTGGACTCTCTGCAGAGGAGTTGAGAATAGTCATCTATAGTCATCCATTCAGGCAGTAGACGTTCTGGGCACCGTGCTGTGCTATGACTTGTGCCGGGGACACAGTGACCCAAGCTTCCCTGCCCTCAGTTCAGTGGGAAACATGTCTTCAGACAGCCATATTCCAGAAGACAGGGTTGAGGGAAGCCCAGGGAATTGTATGTCCCAGAAGAGGTGCCTGGCTCAGCCTGATGTGTAGTTCAGGGAAGGCTTCCTGGAAGAGGAAGGTTGTAATCTAAGTAGCATATCTGAAGGGGGAGCATTGACCAAAGAGCAGAAGGGACGGTTCCAGTGGGGGGGGGGGGGGGGGGGGCCGCATGAGCAAAGGCGGAGGATTACCAGGGCATTGGGCTGCTGTGGTACAGGTGAGGTGGGAGGGGCTAACACCTTCACATGAGGTGCTCAGACTCTGGCCTGATGGTGATGGCTAGCCATTTTATGCCTGGGGGTGGGGCCGGAGGTTGTGGGGTCAGTTAGGTTTGGACTTTAGGAAAACCTTTCTAATTTTGCTTCAGGAAGGTGGGCCAGAAACAAGGGATCAGTGGGAAGCCAGTGAAGGGGTGTGAGGGGGTCAGGACCAACTTCAACCAGGGAAGCACTGGAAGAGAAGAATGGATGACCGAGCCACTCAGGAAAGGGAGTATCCAGAGTGAGGCTCCAGGCTCTGGCCAGGGGAAAGTCCTCCATGCTGCCCAGGCTCAGGACTTGAGCCGGGCATGGAAGGATGCTCTGCGGTCAGCCTTGGACTCTGCAGATGAGGGGACCAGGGGATGGCTAGTGGGGAAGAGATACGGATAGAGGTTGGAGTCAAGGATAGAAAGCAGGGCTTTGCTGACAGAGTGTCTCACACCTAAAATCCTCACACCTCTAGGAACTGAGGCAAGAGATCACTAGTTCAAAGGCTGAAGTTTCAGCATGAGACCACGTCCGCCCCCCCCACTCTTCCCCCCCCAAAAAAGACTCTGGGAGCAGTCACGAGATTGAACTATTGGAGTTTCAGTCTTTAAGGAAAAGACAGAAAGCTTTTGACAGGTGCAGAGGGGATGGTGAAGTATGCCCCAAGAGGCCGTTGTATTTACTAGTGGAAAGGTTGCAGCGTTGGGGGGGGGTAGGGGGGCTGGTGCCACATTGAATCGATCTAACAGATATGAGTGTGGACAGGGACTGAGTCCTGGTTCAGGGTGAGTCAGAACACTTGGCCTCATGTCTTCCCTGAGCTGGTCTCCACTGTGTCACTGCCCCAGGCCCCCTCACAAAAGTGTCCTGGAAGTTTATAGGATCAGACACTGGGCATGGAAAAGGCCAGGCCTCATTAGAGGTCCAGGAATGGGGTCGATAGCAAGAATAGCATCCCCCTATGCAAGTAGCTTCTCTGATGGCAGGTCCAGGTGGCGCCTGTCATTCACCTGAGGTAAGATGATGTTCGGATCAGGCTTGAAGACAGGCAGAGACCAAACTGGAATTCTCTCGGCTTGGTACAAAGAATATTCTGGTGAGATGACAGAACCTATTTTCATGGTGGAACTTGAGACCTTCAAAATGTCCACCATTAACCATGGAAACGAGGCACCGGGCTCCCCAGGACTGCAGCATCCTGAGGTCCCTTGTCATTTTGTTACTCTGGAGTCGCTAAGATCATGTGAGGTTATCAGCAAGTGAGGGCATAGGCCTTGGGCAATGGGAGCTAGCAAACTGGAGGGGCCGGCTCTGTGGTGCCAGCTAGGAAATACCCATTCCTACCTTAAGGGGGAGCCAGAGCCGGTCGTGGGGCAGATTCAGGCCCAAATCTTGCCATACCCTGGCACCATGTGTGACAGGCACAAATGTTAAATAGGAATGTGTGGGACACAAGGAGATGTGGAGTTGACTCCAGCAGAGGAGCTAAGCTCCAAGCTGAGGCTGAGGACCACACTGGCTGGAGGTAACTAGCAAGCGGTGGGAACAGGGTCCCATGGACCTGGAACAGCATAGGATAAGGTATGCATTGTGAGGAAAGGGGGAGTGAGGGAAGCCACAGATGAGATGGGGCAACGGAAGGGACTTAGCATAGCATCAAGGCAGGAAGCAGGTGATGTAACCCTATAAATTCCCGAGAGGAGGGTGGCTTTTATTCTAACTGGCATGAGAAGCCACTGAAGGTCTCTTCCGTTTTGTTTCTTTGAGTCAGGGTCTCACAACATTAGCCCCGGTTTGAACTCACTGTGTAGCTCGGGTTCCTTGACCTCACTCATGACGCTTCTGCCTCGGCCTCCTGAGCACAGGCATTGCAGGCGTGCCCCTGGCCACTGGAGGATTTTGGGCTATGAGGAGAGACATCTTCCTGGATCTCAAAGAAGCTCCCATGGCAGATCTTGTGTGTGGACGGCCAAGGGGAAGCAGGGAAACTGCAACAGTTCTGGCAGAAGGCGGACTTAGACCAGGATAGACCTGAGGTGACATGTAAGCCATCAGCAGGCTCCTCCTTTCCTACCCAGAAGTGGACAGTGTGGCCTACTAACAACTGACCCAGAACAGAGGGAAGGTGGTAGAAACTAGGGGGAGGGGGGAGACCCAGGTCTCCAATCCCAGGATCCATCCCATAGAGCTGATTTGTCTGTAATATAGGAAGAAGGAACCTTTGCCAAGCCCAGTACAAGGCAGCCAGGAGATAGACGCCAAAAGAAGCTAAGGCTAGCCGGGCAGTGGTAGCGCACGCCTTTAATCCCAGCACTTGGGAGGCAGAGGCAGGTGGATTTCTGAGTTCAAGGCCAGCCTGGTCTACAGAGTGAGTGCCAGGACAGCCAGGGCTACACAGAGAAACTCTGTCTCAGAAAATCAAAACAAAAAAAGAAGCTAAGGCTGTTAAGGTGGATCCAGGCCCAGTACACGGGGCTAGAATAGAGACACACACCGAGTGCCAGCCTACTACAAGTGTGGAGAGAATGAGAGTGGAGAGTGATGGCAGTTATGGGGACAGGCCGGTCCCCATAGCAGGTCCCCTGGAACTTCACAAGGCACGTAGACTGCCTCTCACCCCTTTGCAAAAACAAACAACACCAGCGTCTAGGATTTAAAGTTAAACAGCCTTGCCCAGCTGAAGCCACCGAGATCCTGAAGTCAGGATATGATGTCTACTGCCCATCACCCTTCTGGTCAAAGCAAGTGCCCTGCACAATCTGAGGACCAAACCTAGGCTGCTGAGGCTAGTGTGAGTCCATAACCTCAAGAGATTCCCATGATCCTCTGCCAGGCCTCTCTTGAGGCCAAGCTTCTACCACCCTCTCCATGGGCTCCTAGGTGGGAGAACTGATGAGGTTGGGGGGAACCCCTAAAAGACATCGGGTTTCCTCTGGATAGTGGGACCCAGTGATCTATCCTGAGGTTCCTCAGCAAAGTCTGGACCCCCACACGCCTGAAGAGGTGTCAGTGCTTGGCACTGTCCCGGCCTTAGTCGGATTAGAATGTTGGGAACATGATATGACAAACGGCCCAGGTCCCTGCCCCCTGGGTGGCCCCAGTTCTTATAGAACAAGTAGATACAAATGGTAGCCAGGGTAGGCTGGGCTGAGAGAGTACAGGCAGGAAGGATGAAGGACATTTTCGTTCTCTGGTGTTTTGAACAGGGTCTCATGGAGGCCAGAGCGGCCTTGAGCCCCTAATCCCTT